TCATTCAATGTTTTATAGTGCGTAACTATCCAATGAATGGAACCAATATGGCAGACGAGTATACCTCCTTCTTATAGAGCTCTATAAAAAGGGACGGGTAATGTTTTTGAGAGGTAGAACCAGACCACGTTTTGCCACTGGGCAACTCAAAGTCAAGGTTCATGTCAATCCAAATTATCTCTGCTTTTTTTTAATTTAATGCACATTCCTATTTACCAATTTTTTTACGCTCCATTTGCTTCAGGTTAAGTTTTTGCTCCTATCTGTATGTCTTTGTAGTTAAAATCTATCAGTTTACTGTACCAATAATTCATTTTCAATGTGAATTATGTTTTAATGTTATTTTAGTTCTACTCTATTTCAACTAATGTGTATTTAATTCTAACGTTATAATTACTCCAACCATTTTCCAACAATAAACATTTGTATGACGCGTGTTTAACATGCTGCATAATTTAGAAATAGATGCCAAATTAAATATTCTTCAATCTTTAAACTCATTGTGAAATAGAATTAAATAGTAATTCACCGCTTTTAAACTTATTAAAGTTTCACCTCTACTCCTATTGCCGACATACCTACACTGTGCGTTTTCAGGGCAGCGTTTCAGTGAAACAGGTTCCACCAAGCTTCTCCACTGTAAAAAATGTATAGTCGGGATGCTGTATCGATCTGTTTCTCTTAACTATACAATTTCAGAAGTACAGTGGAGACGCTAGTGGAACCGATCTTCCTAAAACTAACTTGCAGTAAACACAACTGCACAGTATAGACTGGCAGTTATGTTTAGCTTTTACATATAAGTGACCATCTACACAAAACAGTCATTAGTGTAAAACTCAACCAAAGAAGTGAAGCTCAACTAAACTTCACAAAGATAAAGTGTGTCATTTTTAAATAGTTTGAGAAGTTTATCGAAACAAATTAGATAAATAACTATATTAATTTAACCTTAGGTAATTACCTGCTACGGAGGATTGAAAATTCTTGTTTACATTTTGGTGAATATCTGTAGCGAGGGGATCTTCCACTGCCCCAGAGAATTTTGAAACACAATTTATTGCTTGCAATGATTTACTGTGACTAGTTTGTTCCACTGATGAAGTAGAACTCTTATTTCCATTACTGACTTTTTCTGCTTCTTTTTGAGCTAGTGTCATATCAAAATGAACTTTTGATAATATATCATGTATTTTCTAAAATTTAATTTGAATTCCTTAATAAAAGCAAAGGCAGAAATATGTTATGTCTCACCATGGAATCTATATGAGGAAATTGTTGTTTAAGTGACTTCATTTGGTTTTCTCTTTCCAATACAACTTTACTCTTTTGTCGGTTTTTGGTGTGTAAAATATTTATGCTACCCTTCTGAACACTTCCAACAACCATCACTTTATCATTCTTTAGAGGTGGTATATGAGATGAAGACATTGTTAAACACAAAAAGCAATCCTTCCGCAACTTCTAGTACAAGTTCTATCTGGTAATATATGCAAGAATCCTGAAAATACAATTCAAATTAGTCACTAATAAAGAGCTGCTAACTGATAAATATTAACCAATAATAACTCTCCATCCAATGTTTCACTGCACTCTGACAATAAATCATGCTCTACAAAATATTTATTCATTAATTATTAAGATTAGTTTTCAAAAAAGTAAAGCCTTATCATAAAATGTATAGGATAAGAAAACCAACAGTCTAATGCAATCACTTTTAAATCCTGTAATAAATAGTTTATTAATAATAACTTATATGACAATAGAAAATAATTTGTTCTTGGAGCGAATAATCAACAAAAAATTAAATGACACTAAGAAATTTTCCTGCAATATTTAATGTCAAAGTAGATAATTTGTTATCCTTATTTATTCCATGTTATAATAGTTGTATTGTTAAAACAATTAAAACCAACAATAGGTACCCAACAAGATAATTTACTTTCTTTAACTAGATACCAAAAAGCACTCTTTAATATTCTAATAGTAACATAATGCATACAATACAGTAATATAACAAAATAAAACATACCCACTCAGAAAAAATTAAGCTAACCCCACGTATTGTTTAAATTAAATTACATCATTTGTTTCTTTGATTTAAGTCCTTCCTTTCAAATTTACCATTAATTTAAAATGAATAAATACATTTCTTGACGAGTAATTAATACGACAATTATTATTTTTTCAGCATACGTATAGGCACTACTGTTTCCACTTTTTAGACACAAAAACACAAAAATAAATCTAAAGGAACTCAAATAATCCAATTTTTCAATTTCAGAAAACTAGGTTATTAATAATAATCAATTATAAGTTAAAATCAAAATCCATAATATCCTAATGAATTCCATGTAGTTCAAAGGTTTATGGATTTTATTTATAGCCATATTTTGTATATAGGGTGTTTCTAAAATAAGCAGCAAGCTTGCAGCAGGTGATAAAGCACTATTAAACAAAAAAAACTAAGTAAATGTTAGGTGGCCCAAAAGTACACCATTTTAGAGAGACATATTTGAAAATACAGGCAAGAATCAATGCGGTCCTGGAAGGATCACAAAGGGAAATGCGACAATTCAACGCCACAATCAATCAGCTGATTCTATAGTACATAATAGATGTTACGGCGGCAATTTAAAATCGTTAGAGGTGATTGGCCAGTTATAGACATTGTCGATTTTATTCGCGATTTGATTGGTTATACAAATATATCATTGTAATAAGTATTAGGAAACTTATAAACAAAGCTTGCACGATATAAACCAAAAACACGTAATAAAAAAACATTAAATCATGGGAATGTGGTTAAAAATATTGAGAAATGATGTAGGCAAGGTGGCAATTAAATTCCGATAATATAATAGCTTCCCACCTAACAATACCGAGGGTTCGTACTCGCGTTGTTGCAAATTTTGAATCTTCCTTTAGCATCAGTAGAAGGATGATGTCGGTAGATCGTTTAGTTAAAGATTACTGACAGTAGGTTATATTATGGTATTAATTTACTATATTGTGTTGTTGAGTGCATTGCAACATTCGAAAACAATTTATGAAAAGTAACTTAAACTACATTTTTACCATAAAAATAAATACACTAATCAACACAATAAATTTTTTGCATGGGCTAAATTTAAAATACGTTACTGCTTACAGACATAACTTACATAATACAGGTACAGGTAGAGAGATGTAAGCTAATACATCTAATCTTTGGTTTATCTTTAATTAAAACAGGTAGTTTCATCCTCAAGGATATTTCCAAGGTTTTCAACAACTACCCAGCCGTTTAAGGTAAGATAAAAATTTTTTTAATTGAAAAAAATAGTCTTTGGAACCGAGTACACAACGTCCCCTTGAACTTCTACGTTTCCATAATCCACCTATTACCAACAACAGTAGTTTCTCTCGTCTGACTTAAACCACGCCCACTCAAGAGCATTTCTCGCTCCAGACGCCAGCCATTTCCAAAATGGCTACCACCAAGGGTCCCGAAGGGACTCTCCCTCGATGACGCCATAACCCTTGTCGGCGAACTGCAGCAGGATCTCGTTTTCAAAGACTATTTACGTTAACATTCTGACAGTGCAGTAGTCACGCCCATGGTGGAAGACATCGGACCCAGCACCTCCTCCACTGCCCCGCCCACACAGGTACACTTCAAAAAGTACCGAATCAAAGTTTTACCAATGTTGACGATATTACAGAAGCCGGCAGCCGCCGAAAAAAAAAGTAGGAGACGGACTCCATTCCTTTCGTCGTCTTCTTCGACGTCAACGGACACTCAGCCCGAGCCCGAGCCCGAAACTCCCGACCAAGGCGCCTCAGGTCCTCGCCTAATCACTACCTATCCATCAAAAGATCCTTTGGCCAAAAATTCTCTGTGGCATGGAAAGTCATGGTACCTATATCCGTAGCGCATTTAACACCAGCGGCTCCACCAGGGTATATCCCAAGTCTATGGAGGACTTTCGCCGCCAGTCTTCTCTCCTCGACGAATTCAACGTCGAATACTTTACAAATCAGCTCCGCCAAGACAGGCACCTTCACGTCGTCCTTCGCGGAGTCTGCGAGACTATATACACGGACGACATTTAGTCCAAATTATCCCATAAAGGTTTCGCTATCCGTAGTGTTCACCGTATGTCTAACGGTGACAAACTCTGGACTAGTATCCATTCGTCTGGACAGGTCAATTTTCGAACTTGGCAAGGTCTGCGAGATCAATATCAAAGTTGAGCCTAAAAGAGCTAATAAAGACGTCCCACTTCCCTTTGGTATGAAAAAATCCACTGTCATCCACCCCCCAAAAAAAGGGAAGCCTGTCAGCTCTTCCTCAAGCTATAGTCCGAAGAGCCTGCTCACTTCGATGAGCAAAGTTTACATCCATCCTTCTTGATCGGCTCTTAAACCACCTGGAGCAAAACAGCCTTCTCCACAATTATCAATATGGTTTCCGCAGGCATCATGACACCGGCCACCACCTTCTTCGCGTATCCTAATACATTACTGATAACCTTAACAAGCACCGTCACACCTCCATGCTTTTTCTTGACGCCCAGCAAGCTTTCGACCGAATCTGGTACGAAGGCCTCTTATCTCTAAACTTATCATCCTTAGCACCCCACATTTCCTAATTGGGGTGACCAAATCGGAAGCAATTTTATTCTCACGTAAGACCCGAAAACCACCCTCCATCATCGTAAACAATCGCTCCATCAAATGGATTAATTCCTTCGCATACCTAGGCATCTTCTTCGACAGAGCCCTAAACTGGCGGCGCCACATCTTAGCTACTCGTTCAAAGACTATGGATGCTTTCATCGCACTCAGGCCTTTCTTCCGAAACAACTGCATCTCCCAACAAACAAAAATCCGTGCGCCTAACGCAATTATCAGAAGCATTTGCTACGACGTCATTCCCATCTGGGGCTCCACCCTTCCCCACGGCCTAAACCTTCTGCAGGGCACCTATATGTGGATCCTTCGTTCCGCACTAAACTACCCCTGGTTCGTCAGTGTTAAAATGAGTGCTAGCTGGTTAGATACTGTGCCAACGGCTACAGGCTATTATCGACCAAGGAAAAGAAGATTTATACCGGAAGGGACGTCACCTCGAGGACTACGTTGTCTTTGTCATGAACGCTGAGTGCTTCGTAGGCAACGTGCCCCCAACGACATAGCTGAACGAAAAGATGCTGAAGAGTGGCACGATTCCATCAAGTTAGAAATCTTGTCGCTGGAAGAAAGTGAAACCTCTCCTCTACGGAGACCGAGTACGTGGCCCTGGCTAACGCGGGCACGGAGTTTCTATGGCTGAAAGATCTGTTCCAGGAAATGGAATTCCATATCACCAAGCCAGTTACAATCTATGAGGATAAACAGGCCTGTTTCCACCATCAAACGGTGGGACCACTGCAGGTTGAAGCATGTAAACGTGAAGTGCAACTTCACACGAGACCTGTTCGCTAAGGGTGAAGTCACTTACATCCCGACGGCTGACCAGAAAGCTGACATCCTCACCAAAAGTCTAATCAAGGTCAACTTCAACATCGGGATAGTTTATTTTTTTCTTTGAACTATTTAAGTGCTTTCCCAGAACGCAGGTACGACACATACATTTACAAATACGGCGCACATGAAGAAAGGCATCCGCGGCTACCTTCTTTCCCTGAGGCTGCAAGCTCATTCGCGGCAAATCTCCGGGCTCCAGTGTCAGGCCTCGCAAACCCCACCATCTCGATACTCCGACTTCGCCCTAAAACCAAACGACTGATTCCGAAGGTTCTATCTCCTCCCTACGCTCAACACATTTCCCAATTTAATCGTCTTCTCACTCCCAATCTTTCCATTCCTTCCCGGGGATGTATAACATTCACTCTCAATTAATTTCCCGTTTCACTTCTGCAACGGTCAATTTATTTCTATTTCTCTCGGCGATCGTCTCTTCCTTTAAATACTCTTTTGTTTACTATCAGGAACATTCTCAAAACGTCCGGAAAGTTTCCTTTTCTTTGAACTGTTTAACTGCTTTCCCAGAACGCAGGTACGACACACACATTCACAAATACGACGAACATGAAGAAAGGCGCCCGCGGCTAATCGGCGAATCAATAAGCCGTTCACACACGCGTGTGCCCGATCGCACACAAACACACTCCTGCTCGCTACACTGCCCCCTCCGTAAGGATGTTTCGTCCCGAAACATTTTCACTTTCCGTTTCGCAGGTTCATTCCGAAATCTGCAGTTCTCGCCTTCACGACATCCTCTCCGGGAATAGAAGTAACAGTCCACGGTCTTCCCATGATTGGTCCTATTCGGGTCATTACTGCAAACCAAAATGTCCATTCCAGTACGGCGGAACAGGACTTCGATCATGTACTGTACGATCCTCCAATTTAGGTTGTTCAGTCCACAACCAAGCTTCGGAATCACCAGCTTCTGTAGGTCATTCTCCAAAAGATGTCCGCGGAGTTCCATTACTGCGTCCTAAAGGTCTCTATAAGTTTGTTTATCAGAGCACCTTTCCTTAGTTACTAAGTAATAGATATTGCGTCGTCCGTCAGGAAGGCACAACCGTCTTCTTCCCTTCTGTACCTGGTCTTCAAGATGTTCCAAATCTGCATTTGACTCGGACGCGATACCACAGCTCATTCTGAGATCCTTTGAAACGCAATGAGCCAGAGAATATTCCGTAGATATAGCAAAGAGGTCTCGTCGGATTTCTTGCGACACTCCAAACATGGGGGCCTTCCTTCATGAACTCTTCGAATGTACGCTCGGAAGGAATAGTTCTTAATAATCTGGCCCGCGCCTCCTCTTCATTTGGACTACCTTCGGATTCCCATTTTGAGTTTTCTTAATTCGGTAGATCACGTCGTTAATCCTCTTCACTATATCATACGGATCTTCCCAATTCTGTTGGAACTTAGGTTAGTTTTCTTTAATCCTGTCACTAGCAATCTGCGTATGCAGACGAACCGACTGGTGGATATCGCTAAGCTTTCTTCGGAGGTTGGTACCATAATCTTCTCCAGACAAGTCATCTCCTGGTTTACAGCCGAATTTGGGGTCACAAAACAGTAACTCCCTTCCAAAAAAGACACTGGCAGGTGTTTGGCCAGTCGTTTCGTGGACAGATGAACGATATGCTATTAAAAATAAAGACAAATAACGGTCCCAGTCTCTTTGGTAATTAGACAGTACTTTGGAGAGATATTTAATCAAGGTCCGGTTCATTCGCTCAGCCATGCGGAATATAGCCGATTCGAAATTTCTCCGTTAGTCTGAGTGCAACTCCAGGGGTAC